GGGGGGGGGGGGGGGTGGGGGGGAGAAACGAAACTTGTTAGGATTGTTAAGTCTTTTATCACTGATGTCGCCACTGTACATAGCAATTTAAATAAAAAAACTGCAAGTTCAGGGGGGGGGGATGGGCTAATGCCCCACCCTGCCCTACCAGGATGACGTCACTGTGCATACAAATTTACGGTGAAGTGTAATAACTTCTAATTTTAATATTTCAAATTCCATTTTTATGATGATTTATTATCTTTATTACTCCACAGCGAGGTCCACAGTAGCTTTCTCCATAATGGAAGCTTCAAGAAAAACTCTTGCCAGCTGACGGCCAGGCAGAGGTTCCCTGGTCTGTTCCTCAGCAGAGAGAAGGTCATGTGCATGCTGGTCGACCCAGATGGCCTGTCTGAGGAGAGCTACCGAATCAGTGAAGTGCAGCTCCGCGTACCGTACAACCCGAAAGCTGAAGAAGTGGCCACAGAAGCGAGGACCAGATTCTCTAGAGCGACCAGCGATCCGTGCTGTACAACGTAAGGTCTTGCGATAGCGCAATACTAAAGCGGTAACCCAATAGCTAAAGCAGGGTGAAAACGAGACGGAGATGGGGGAGACCCAAACATTTACACACACACACATAATATATATATTTATATATATATATATTATATATATATATATATATATATATATATATATATATATAACACACACACATAAAATATATATTTATATATATATATATTATATATATATATATATATATATATATATATATTATTCATCCTTTGCAAAAGGAAGATAATTATTGCAATTTTAGACTTGAGTAGTAGCCTTGATTTGACCTGTATTTTGCTTAAAGTAATGGAGAGTTTATATATATATATATATATATATATATATATATATATATATATATATATATATATATATATATATAGAGAGAGAGAGAGAGAGAGGTGTAATGGGAAGTAAGATTGAGAGTGGGCAAAGAATCGACTTAATGCTTATGTTGAGGGGAGAGGGCGTTAGAGGGAGTGACAGTACAATCGGATAGAGGTTGTCTCCCTCTATATGTTAACATTTCTCACACTGAAAACGGCTGCACTCAATGCCGGGTTGCACATACAGAGATAGGCTTTCATACCATGTCTGCTCTAAAAAAATGGAACGAGGCACCCAGGCAATTGTGTAGATTATGGGTAGACAACTTCAGCGCCCAGATAATTTTCTAGGTAATGGTAGACAACTTCAGCACCCAGACAATTGTGTAGGTAATGGGTAGACAACTTCAGCGCCCAGATAATTGTGTAGGTAATCGGTAGAAAACTTCAGCGCCCAGATAATTGTGTAGGTAATCGGTAGACACCTTCAGCGCCCAGATAATTGTGTAAGTAATGGGTAGAAAATTTCAGCATCCAGACAATTGTGTAGATAAAGGTAGAGAACTTCAGCGCCCAGATAATTTTGTAGGAAATTGGAGACAACTTCAACACCCAGAAAATTTTGTAGATAATGGTAGATAATTTCTGCACCCAGATAATTTTGTAGGCTATTATAGACAACTTCAGCACCCAGACAATTTTGTAGATAATCGTAGACAATTTCTGCACCCAGATAATTTTGTAGGTGATTGCAGACAACTTCAGCACCCATACAATTTTGTAGGTAATAGGAGACAACTTCAGCGCCCTGTTAATTTGGTAGATAATGATAGACATCTTCTGCACCCAGATAATTTTGTAGGTAATCGGAGACAACCTCAGCACCCAGACAATTTTGTACATAATGGTAGACAATTTCTGCACCATGACAATTTTGTAGGTAATGGGAGAAAACTTCAGCACCCAGATAATTTTGTAGATAATGGGAGACAACTTCTGCACCCAGATAATTTTGTAGGTAATAGGAGACAACTTCAGGCCCAGATAATTTTGTAGATAATGGTAGACAACTTCTGCACCTAGATACTTTTTTCCATAAAGGGAGACAACTTCAGCGTCCAGATAATTTTGTATGTAATGGGAGACAACTTCAGCGCCCAGATAATTTTTGCCATAATGGGAGAGACAACTTCAGCACCCAGATAATTTTGTAGGTAATGGGAGACAACTTCTGGAAAATTAATTCTCTTACACCCTCCTAACCTTCGTTGTAATCGCCACAATTTTGATCCATACAAATAAAAAAATAAAATAAAATTAAAAAAAAAAAACAAGTTGCAAAAGTATACATCAAGATACGTCTGACATATATTGCCATCTTTTTCAGCACCATGACCATGACCATACCGTACACGGTGGTGCCGAAGTACGACAGTAGGCAGCAGTTTAAGGTCAAACATCTGTCGACGTCATACCAGATACTTCACGAGGGAAAATGTGCATCGTACGTAACAATAATAAATCTCTTGCTCGTACACAGTCTTTCTACTAGCAAACCCTGCAGCGCCATGTTGAAGTGTACATCCGTGATATAATCTAGCAGAATTTAAAAAAAAAAATCAAATTTTGTAAGTCGAAAAATTCATAATTATCGAATTGTAATCAAACATAGTGGGCTTGAGTTCAAGAATTCAAAACGCTACCCGATTGAAGTGTCTTTGAAATGACGATAAAATTAGAAATGGCGAAGTTATGCACAAATAGAAAACACACTTAATGAAACGTCATAAAAGGGAGTCCAGCATAACTATATTAAAAAAATTATAACCATTCAATTTGCTCTACTTAAGCTTTTAATTGATTAGAGTTGGTGCTTTTAAAATTATTGTTATAGTGAATTCCCGGAAAAGACGACAAAGGGAATTCCTCGAAAAGACGTCAAATGGCTTTGTTTTGGAAAAGATAGTCATTTTTTTTTTGAGCATCTGGTGAATGTTTATTATTTTTATTTATTTCCTTCAAAGAGAAAAGCTAAAAACAGGTTTTCATAAATTTAACTCTTCTCGGTATGCAGAATAAGATCAAGAATTTTGTTGACAACATGAAGCAAAAAAAATACGTGTGTTTGGGCTGGTAAGGGGGGTGGGGGGCGGAGAGGATGGCTTGGGAGTTAGCCCCGGGTGTCATTTGGTAAAGGTGCCTCGCTGCTGAAAAACGTCAGCCCGAATGTAACCTCTCAACCCGACAGTTAGAAACATTCTCATAGTAGCGCCCCCCCCCCCCAAGAACCTGTTATTGAATATCTTTCACTGTGCCCCTCCACTCACTCCTTACACCCTGCTTGTCTTCCCCACAGACCGGG